CCAATGAGGAGAGAGCTCGCTGTGCGGAGCCCCGGGCAGCCAATGAGGAGAGAGCTGGGCGGAGCCCCGGGCAGCCAATGAGGAGAGAGCTGGGCGGAGCCCCGGGCAGCCAATGAGGAGAGAGCTGGATAGCCCTGGGTTTTGCCTTTCAGGCTGCAGCCTGTCCTGTCTCCATTAGTGGCAGTTTCTGATTGGCTGAGCCAAAACTCTGTTCCTCCCCCCTGTGGCGCCCCCTGGAGGTCATCTGTGTGCAGTCAGTTCAGTTCAACTCTTCGGTTTAAAGTATTTTTATCTTTCATTTTTACTTTTTTTAAATAATGAACCAAAGTTCACAGCCTTCCTGGGCCTGTGGGGTTGTCATGGAGACGGCCCCCAGACGGCTCAGCAGTGGTCTCCCCCAGGTGTGACAGACGGCTCGTTGCCACAGTAACCCTCCCCTTTGGTTTTAGTTGATGGTGGAGCTTTGATGCTGATAGTTAATTTTTGTATTTTATAAGAAAAGGAAGAAGTGATTTTCTGTATCTGCATGCACTCCGGCCGTTCGTTCTTCTCCATGTTTGAGCTGTATAGTAGCTGTACGTAGCTGTGGTAGGCGGAGCTCCAGCGCCGGCGACCAACCCGCCACCATCAGGTGGATTATTTGATGGATTGACTCAAACAGGATCCTTATTTTCTGACTTTGTTTGTTTTCATAAATAAACACATAAACTGACCCACAGACTCGGCTCTGATTGGCTCACTGCCTGTCACAGGCCCCGCCCCCTACACACCTTGACCAAGGAGCCCCTTCTGAGGCCTGCTTGGAAACTTTGATTCAGCTGAAGTTCTACATCCAGCAGGTCTGAGAGGAACCCGGACTTTGGGTTCCTCTCAGAACTCTGGGTAGAACTAAAGCCGGGCCTAAAGCCGGGCGGCCGCTGTGCGATATTTTCAACCAGCTACAGTTCAAACTGTACAATGAAACCGCAGCAGGGTTTAATACTTCATAGCTCTCAATGTTCTCACTCTGTACGTCCAGAAACCACACGTCAGACTCGGCGCCGAGAGATGGCGCTGTTTGGACGAGGAAGGAGAACTCCCTGGTTTGCTGATGCGCAGTGCTGGATGTTCTGGTAAATCGGCTCGTAGCTCTGCTTCAACAGCGAGGTTTAAAGCCTGGTCATCGTCTCGCAGCAGCGTGTCGCAGCAGCGTGTCGCAGATATGTTTGATTTCTGCGCAATAATGAAGCGTGGTCTGCGTTATGTTATTCAACGCCAGAGGACCAATCAGGAACTAGCTGTGGGCCTACATACGGCCGAGGCGGTGAAGAAATGGGGGCAAGTCTGTGGGACAACAGAGGGCCATGAGGGCCAAAAAGAGCGGGGGTCCAGGTGGAAAAAGGTTCCCAGCGTTCTCCCCTCGCTCTGCTAGCTGCTCCATCTTCACCAGTCATTTTCCACAATGGTGGCCAGACAAACAAAACAAGTCAGTAAGGAACCAGACAGGAAATACGCATAGAGTAGAGCGGATGTAGATTTGACCAATCAGAGGCCTCCGGTCTGCAGAAGGGGCGGGGCTTATCTGCAACATGCAGACCACATGCAGACTGGTTTCTGAGCACGGCCGACTGAATTCCAAACGTTTGATTTTCTCCTGACCTTCTGATTCCTGATGGGAGGGGGTCGTTAGAGGCTGATCGCCCCTCGTTACCCCCCCCGTTCACTACACCACGCACCATCAGGATGAAATTCTCACACGTCTGGAGAATCGTCCTGAAAAGGGAAAAAAATCATACAGTGTACGCCCGGCTTTAGAACATGATGAAAAGTTGCATAGATCTATGACGCCTAGACTATCCCACTGTCCGCCCTAAATCCCTCCATCACTATATAGAGCGGGGACTCTATAGTGAACTCAGTTCACTGGCCGTTCAGATGATCACTGCTTTTTCCTCTGCACGGTGCCTCCGCCATCTTTGTTCTCACAAACACAACAAATCCCAGAATGCTTTCCAAGGAGAGCTTTTGCAAAGCATTCTGGGATATTCCAAAAAGTTAAACAATCCACTGGACTTTGTCTCCAAGTTCGATAGGGTTGATGAAATCCTGGAACTATTTCGCTAGAAATGCACGTTACTTCATTTTGAATTTAAGAAGCTTCCTCAAAACTTCTTCAAACTTGGAAAATAAGTCCAGAGGATTGATTTTTATGACTGAGAATCTTCACAAAGCATTCTGGGATATATCTGCTCATCTACTGACCGTGGATAATCCTGACCTTTCAAGGTGCATTGTGGGAAATTTTGATTCAATTTTTTTCATCCACCAGATGTTCAGATGCTAGTATAAAGTGGCACAGACAATCTATATAGTGCCCTATGTAGGGGTTAGGGTTATATAGAGCACTCTATAGTGCCCTATGTAGGGGTTAGGGTTATATAGAGCACTCTATAGTGCCCTATGTAGGGGTTAGGGTTATATAGGGCACCCTATAGTGCCCTATGTAGGGGCTAGGGTTATATAGAGCACTCTATAGTGACATTCAGACACAGCTTAGAGTCAAATAGTTCAGCCTTTATTTCCTGATTCTGTCTCAGAAGGAAAACCCAAAGTTCAGAACATCAGAACCTTTGGATCAATAACAGACTTTAAACAGTAAAGAATATTTTTGAAATGTCGATCCGTAGGCATCCAGAACCGGGTTTGGGCTCCTCTGAGCCATGGTGGTTCTGCAGGCATAGAGGAGAGCAGCCTGTGGTTCTGATGAGGTCCAACAGAAGCCCAGCTATTTCTCATTTTCCTTTGACTCCATAGATTATGAGGTTCTGGTCCGGCCCACCATGCTCAGTGGACCAGCCTCTGGTACCAGGTTCTGCATCAGCAGCTCCATAAAGACTGGGTGGGTGGTGCCATCAGAACACCCAGTGGACCAGATCCAGCTGAAATCATTGCTGACTGGAACGTTCAGTCTGGTGGGTTCTGGTTCTGTCCGGTACCGATCACCTTTAACAATGTCAGTCACAACCTGCAGCTGTTCTGGTTCCGGTACCATTCTGTTTAATTTGGATCTAGACCTGGTTTGCTGTAGAACCTCCGGTTCCGTTCCAGTTCCTCATTCCAAATTTCCCGCTGACTCTGAAGCCCCCGTGGTGCGTTCGAGGACACCTCTGCTGGAAGCCTTGAAGAGGACGTAAGCGGATCAGAACCATCGACACCCAGCAGGACCGGCGTTGGGCTGCCAGAACCCAGAGGTCCGGTTGGTGGGTTCTGGACAAGGTCCAAACAGGAGACCCTTTTAATCCTTGATCAGAGGGGTCCATTCAGGACCGGTTCTGTTCTGTTGGCACCTGGACCGGACCGGGATCAGAATCCCACCATCGTTCTGCCGGTCCTGGTTCTGTCTGCTGATCCGGCTGCAGCATCCTGATCGGTTCTGGTCCCGCTCAGCTGAGGACACGGTGCCACCGGTTCTACTTGGTGTTTATTAGAACTATCGGATCAGAACCACCTCATCACTGAGGTTCTGGTCCAAACACACAGGAAAGAGAGGTCCAACAGAACCACTAAACCGGCTCATAGTCCAATAGAACCCCAGGACTTTGGACCAGAACCTTCCTAAACCAGAAAGTTCTGTTTTCGATCCCGGATCCAGTGGATCTTCAGGTCAGAACCTTCAGGTGGGTTCTGCCCATCCGGAACCGCAGCAGTTCTACATGATGCTGCAGATCCGGGACTGTCCTTCGGAACCACGCAGGGCCCCGCGGTTCCGGACCAGAACCGCCTGGTTCCCATAGCTGCTGTACCAGGCGGACTGGCTGCGGGTCAGGTAGGTGGAGGGCGGTACCGCCCCCAGCTGCTGCTGCTGCTGCTGCCAGATCAGCAGGGAGGTGTCCCGGTACCGAAGCCGCCCGAACGGTTCCGACAGAGCCTTGGCTGCCAGAGCAGGTCGGGTAGGAGGCCCAGTAGAACCCGGATCCTCTGCAGCTGGGTCACAGTCCGACATGATCCGATCCAGAACCGAACCAGAGGGGCTGAACCTGGCCTGGGGGAGAGGCGTCCTGCTGCGGATGAACCTCCCGGCTTCCGTACAGCTGAACAGCGGAGCCTCGCGGCTTATCCTTTTGTAGTCCTTCACCGTGAAAACGTCACTGCTGACATCATTTACCGCCCCGCTGACGCAACTATGCGAGCGGAAACTGGACTCTGACGTTTTAATGACGTTTCTTCTGCCTTTCAACAAAGTTCAGCTCCGTTAGCTTTAAGCTACCGCAGCAGCGTCTGCGTCCCATGGCAACTGTCCGTCCGCATTATGTCCCGGGTAGCAACGGCGGCCCGGAACGAAGAGTCCGCCGGAAGAGACTTTTAGTAGAGTTTATTTTTATGAAGTGATCTCCAAAGAACATTTTACACTTTAGCAGGATCAATTCTATTCAGTTTATTTCTATAGCTACAATTCACATCAGGTCATCTCAGGTCACT